GTACTTCAATTTGTCTAATTCTATTAATATTAAATCCAGCGTGCCTACATTTTCGAACAAAGTAAAAATAATATAGATATATGGGAATATTAAACGAGTAAGGAAAGTAATAAGGTCGGACGGGGCCGACTATATAATACCCTTCACCATTGTGGGTATATTCAACAAATAAATCCTAACATACGTGGAATTTTTGAAGGACCAATAACATGAAAATGTATCCATAAGCATGTCATTCCGCAACCTATACCAAATTTTTCATTTGGTCAGATACAGGGTTGCTTCAAGCTAGTTTATATTAAAAGGCCTACCTTGGGGTCTTTGTTGAACCATTTATCTATCGAATGAAAATATATATGGGAGCTATATCTAAATCTGGACCGATTTTTAGGAAACTTAACACATATCATTCTAGACCTAAATCAGTACGCTGTGCCAAATTTCGTGGGAGCTATATCTAAATCTGGACAAATTTCCAGGAAACTTAACACACATCATTCTAGACCTATTTCAGAATGCTGTGCCAAATTTCGTGCTAATCAAAAGATATATAGGGACTTTGGTACACCAATTACCTAAAATTGGATGAAAATATTTATGGGAGCTATATCTAAACCTGAACCGATTTTCAGGAAACTTAATACACATCATTCTAGACCTAATTTATTATGCTATGCCAAATTTCGTGCAAATCGAAAGATATATAGGGACTTTGGTACACCATTTACATTAAATCGGACGAAAATATATATATAGGAGATATATCTAAATATGGACCGATTTTCTGAAACTTAACACACATCATTCTAGACCTAATTCAGTACGCTGTGCCAAATTTCGTGCAAATCGAAAGATGTATAGGGACCTTGGTACACCATTTACATTAAATCGGACGAAAATATATATGGGAGCTATATCTAAATCTAAACCGATTTTTCCCAATTTCAATTTCATCCAATTCGGATCATAAATGCGACCTGTACTTTGTTTACAATTTAACGTGGACAAACAGACGGACGGACGAACGGACATGCATAAATCGACTTAAAAAGTGATTCTATGCATATCCTCAAAAGGAACCATGTGTCTATCTCGTTTCCTTTTGTCTGTTACAAACATATGCAAAAATACATGATACCCTGTACCACAGTGTGGTGAAGGGTATAAAAATGTCTTAAATTCCTTGAAGTTGAGGTTGCAAGCTCATAACTCGGGAAATATGAACATATTGAATATAATTTAAATGCATTTCTATAAAATGAATTGCTCTTGTCAAAATCTTAAAAATATCTGTAATAAATAATGGGTTGCACGCACATGCGATCATTGATTATGTTGAAGAATACCCCATGGGCAGCATGGTTCTCATGTGATTTTCTAGTATTATTTTTCGATATAATCACTGCACCCACCCAAAGCGGATGCCGGATTTTCGGTGTTTTTCGAATTGTTCTTATAATCAGGACGCGCAACCAGATAATGGGCTAAACTAATTATAGGATTGTAGAACTCGTGATTTTGCTTCGAGTTCACCGTAGCTTCTTTGCAATTGGATTCCAAAGGCGAAAATTTGGTGTGTACATTTTTATAAAAAAAAACTATTTTTGAGTCTAAATTACCGTAGACTCCCACGTGATTTTAGTTTTTTACATGTCAAATCTAATGATCCCAGCCATGTGCAATTCCACCCAATTCCGGCGGAAATAGGTACCTTGAATGTAGCAAAAACGTATTTTGACAAATTCGTGTATATAATCGCGTTTTTCTTCGAATTGTTTGTATTATCATATTCACGAGTTTGCGTGAAAATAGGTCAAAAATACATCGATACGCGAATAATATGCGTATTTTATCCAAAATTGATTGTGGCGACATATCCTAAAACATGGCGCTAAATGAAACATCAAAAATTTATAATTATTGGAAGATAATGATTCGGTTGAATGCACCAAACAAAATACGGCAAAATATTTTTTTACTTCGAAATGTCATAAATCGATAAATGATTAGCAATAAGACTGGGGGTTTAAAAATGCTTAATCCGACAAAAATCTAAATTTCAATATTCATTATTTTTGAACAGGAGATTTTCTTCTTAATGAAAACCGAAACATGTTCAAAATAGTCAAATTACCGAAAATCTGAGTTACGTTTGTATCGAGACGTTTCTTAAACACTGGGATGTCCCAGTTAATAATACCTCATTTCCAGGGTGTAAGGTATAAAAACAACAAAAGATGACTTTAGACGTCTGACTTTAGACGTCAAACAAATCCATATCGTTAAATATTTTAAAATATCTTTTAATATCCTCAAAATCAGACATTTTTATAATTAAATTAACACAATTTTTCATACCAAATCAAACAATCTTTCACACCAACCTATTACTCTTATAAAGTGGACTCTAAGACAAAAAGTCGACTTTTGCACCACTATGGTTGACTTAGTATACAGCTAACTTAAAAATGTGCTTTAACTTAAGAAAAACTCGACTTTTTTTGACTATGATTAGACCGCATAGTTTTTCATGGGGCATAATAGTTTGTTTGACTCTTAATCTCTAATGTATTTCCACTAAGTTAACTGTATTTATATTGGCTTTCTTATGCGGAGATTACACTGGGCCACAAGATTTTGGTGGTGGAAAATTACTTCATTTAATCTCAAAAGGAATTTTTCACCCTCTGGACCAAGAGCTCGATTTTGTTGCACAGTGTTATAAAAGATTATACACTTAACCTTTTTACTTGTTTTACTTATTTACCATTAATTTTCGACTTTCAATCAAAAACCTTTAAATGGCCATTAAAACGATAAAATAATAGGAAAACAATCGGCGTGTAGGTGAAATGATAAAATGTGTCTATCTGTATATGTGTATGTATGTACGACAATTTTATGATTCCATAAAATATCTCCATAAAATATTTATGTATTAACTATTCGTTTTTATTTTATAGCCAAATTCCAAAGGCTAAATGTTTATTCAGAGATTTCCGTTAAAGGTCACACAACACTTATGTTATAATCCAGTGTCAACCTCTCTCTATATAAATTCATTCATTCTTTTCTCATTTTGTTATTGTTGTTTAAGTTTTTTTTTATGACTTGTAATTTATTACTCGGCTAGTTGGCTATAATCTTAGACACTAAAATAAGGTGGTGCCAAGAATTATTATGGTTATAGAGTTCAGCAGAGTAATTTTAAATGACATCGGAATTAAAAATCTAACGCTTTATTTTATTTCATTGTGTAGCAAGATGAAATGTTTTCAAAAGATTATATAGTTCTAAGGAAAACAAGTAAGGTCCATATTAACTATATGCAAAAGCCATATTATTATGTTATATTCCTTCTATATATTTATGCGTTTGTGACCCATCTAGAATATAGTTTAATTGTACATAAAACAACGCCATAAAATATATAGTAAGACTTTATTAAAATACATAAAAACGATCTATCAAAGCTTTTCCTCGACAATGAACTCTAAGGTCTATGTTAACGGTAATAATTGAAATATATAAGTCTATTATGAATATTTCCTTTTTAACAGTAAAGATAGGTTTTATAAATCTTGAACGTCAAGATTATGGGCGGTAGGCAGGGTTAACCAATAATATTGTGACACAAAATGGGGCCATGGTCTAGGCATTGAAAAATTCCTTATAGGGATGAAAACCATTGGCGATTGTATTAAGATCCCAGAAGGACACATTCGCCATAAGTCAAGTTACAGAGTTATGGAGTGATTAATTGCTCTTTAATAGTAACATTAACCTTTATGAATAAATAATTTTATATCTTTGTCTGGGGTTATTTTTGATAAGACTTATCTTAAGTCGAACCGAATAAGGGATATTTTTGTATAACTTATCCTTTTACTATATCGAAGCCAGTGCGACATTTACGTCCTGATTTCCTTAAACCAAAATCTATATGAGATTTTTTAAGGACGAAACAGGTGGAACAAGGACTCGAGATAGAAACAGGGTATGTTTTACAAAAATATTTCTCATTCGATTTGGCCCAATGCATGCTTACTCAAAAATAATATGCAGTGTATACAAACATATATATTAAGCTTCTTCATAATGAAATTTAGACTAAACAGGAAAATATTCATCAACAACTTAACCTATGACGAATTTGGGTTCTTAATATACTCTCCAATGGCGTTTATCTACATCAAGAATTATCTTTTAATTGAAATTTTGTATTAATTTTACCCGTACAAAAACTATATCCAAAACATTTATAACTGTTAAACGAGTCATTAGTGTTGATTTGCCTCCACATATACTACAATATAAATGAATGGCTACAACCTTGGCTGCCATTGGGTCACATCATTTAATCCCATTGTATACATATATTCGCAAAATCTCCTTACAACACAAGGGCGAGCCGCACAAAATCTACCAATCCACCCCTATTCGGACATTTTCGACCCCACTTCCACACACAACTCCAATCTATACACCAACTTATACACACACACCCCATTATACTGAGCGATGTCATGCCACTTTCACTCCCATTGCTCTTGCTGTTGTGTTTTAATACTTTAGCGTGAATAACGCTTGTGGGCAAGTTTTTTGTCGTTCTCTGTTCCGTATTAAAATTTTGTTACATTTTATATTTTATTGATTTCAATTTCATTTTAATTTCATTTAGCTCAGGGCCATTCAAGACAAACTTTTGCATATTACTTTGCATTCGTTTTCATCATTCTGCTCATCCGACCGACAGTCCGTCCGCCCGTCCATCCGACAATACACCATCCCTCTTGCCTGTTGTTCACAGTTTCCTGTTTCAGAATTTTAATAATTTTTCTCTGTTTGGTAATTGTGCGACAAGTCATTGTATCCATGAACTCGGCGATTCAGTCATTGGATGAATGAATGAACGATGTATACTAATTTCTAGTACATTAAAGCCTTATTCGTCACCCCCAACCCACTACTGCCACCCTCTAACCAATCCCACCACTTACCATCACTGCATTGCGCTTAAAGTCCATGAAATTTTTCACCTCTGCTGCCAATTCACGTAAAAGTATGATACCATCCTTTCGCTTGACTTCGATGTCGTTATCTTTGAAGCGCTGCAAAAGATAAGAAAGACAAAGGAGAAGATGAGAAAAAGAAATATTATTTAATGAGAGTGAATATTATACATAGCTAGCTGCATGATTGAGATATTTTAACAAAATGAAATTGTAGTAGCATATTTGCAGGATATGGTTTATTAATATCACGCTATTGGAAAACATTTTGCGTGATAATCATTTTTCAATATGTTGCGATAGAATATACATACATAAAATCGTAATATTAAAGTTAATCATCTGCATATAGCGTGTGGCGTAGGGGATGATAGATACCAAGCAACGGCTCTGATTGACTTTAACATGGCGAAGTCCAGGCCTATATTGCTCCCTCTTTCATCTCAATTGTGGACACTGACCTACGCGCGGTGCCACCTGGGGTAGCTATTTTCATCACCCAATGAAATAGAGAGCTAATATTTGCCGCGAGTTCACCCATAAGAACTATAAAAAATGGGTGAGGCGTCGGGTTAGTTGTCCACTCTCGGGAAACCCAACCTACTATGAAAAAGCAAAGAAAAAGAAAACCAAACCCCCGGAAACGTATAAAGAACCACGATCTGCACTTGGAATGTGCGCACGTTGTACAGAATAGGCGCAGTGTTCGTTTTGGCGGATGTACTCAAGAAGTACAAAGCCGATATTATTGCCTCATAGGAAATGCGATAGAAAGGGACTGGCGTAAGTAAATCAGATGATTACCCCCTGTATTAAAGCTGTATTTAAACAAGACATGAACATGGCTGCGGATTTATGTTTAATAGGAGAATAAAAGACCTCGTCACCAGATTCACTCCAATAGATGATCGTCGAATTGCTATAATCCTTATAAAAGCGAAGTTCTTCTACATCAGTCTCATTTGTGCCCATCCTCCAACCGAAGATGAAGATGAACAGACCAAAGACATATTTTACGAGCGCCTAAAAACAGCATATGACCGTTTCCCTGACCATTACATTAAAATTCTGCTAAGAGATTTTAAGACAAAAATCACCCACCCAGCCTACTCCGCTCAACTTACCCAACTGCTTGACGAAAGCACCCATTGTACCGGTAATAATATAGAAGCACAATGGCAAAGAATTTCCCACTCCCTACAAACTTCGACATATTTATGAGATTTTTGATATAGTGGATCGGATTGTTTATACAGATGTGATGAAAAACGATCCTTCGCTGAAGAAAATATACTCCTTACAAAGATTGGTTGAGGAAGTGAAAAATCAGGGTTTTATAATGACCATCAATATCATCAGATCTTCAAATCAGAAGAGATTCACAAAGAAACAAACATAATCTCTAACCACAGGTTCAGGATGCGCGTAGTAGTATACCCAAGGATAATCAAAAATAATGGTTATGTTGTCGATTACTAGCAAAATTAAATTAATTTTTAAAAGATCCTTATCAGCAGTAGCAACCAAAATTATGTTTTTTTTTTTGGTTAATTTCAAGTTTCACTCCATACAAAAATAGCATTCAGCATAGAAAACCCCAAATAAAAATATTTATTTTTGACTATGTATAAAAAATCCACACAGATCCATATGGCCCATAAATTTATTTGAAATAAAGGACGTTCCCTCTTCTACCAATAAATAATGCATTTTGTTTAATTAAATTAACAATTTAAATCATCAAAACTGCCGCAAAATGTATTTTGAAATAAAAAAATCTATGGGAAAACTAAATTGACCAACTTATACTTGGTAAAACTAAAGCAACTTTTTGATTTTTTCTTTTAAATAATTACATTTGGATAGTAATCGATAGCGTAACCGTTATTTTACGTTATTACGGCAGTACACGTACGTGACATTGAATCTATAAGACGCTCAATTTGATCCTTTGTTAGTTTGTATATCTCTTTCGATTTTGCTATCCATGATACTCCGAAGATTTTCTATAGGGTATAGATCCGATTATTGTGCTGGCCAATAACTCCCGCAATCAATCGTTTCAGTGTATTTTTTAGTTTATTATCATGCTGAAACATCCAAAACAAGCGGTATATTTTCATCAGCGAAGGGAACCTAAGTGTTTTACACATTTTTTAATCGGATTCATTAATTCATAAATTTCGTAAATAAATCGAACTCCATAAAAAGAAAAACAACCCAATACCAGTAACCTTGCAGTACTGTGGGTTAAGCCTTTCATTTGATTCTCGGTAATTTTTAATATAGAACTTTAATTTATTCCATAACATAATATTTCTCCAAAGAGTCGGATTCCAATTAATATGAACTTTTATGAAAACAAAATTTGGCTTCCTGATTTTTTAAGAAATAATAGGCATTTTATGATAATCTCCGGGCATGTAGACCTGCTACCATAGCTCGTCCACGCTCTGTTCTTGAGGTTATATCCAACTATAACCCTCTGACAATTTGTTTGCTAATACGAAGTCATGTTCTATTACAGCCTTCCTTCGTAATGAACTGTCACAACTGATGTATTAAATACAACCGACTTATAATTCGAGAAATCACTGATTTATTCATGAAATATTTCTCCGAAATCATTTTATTTGATAAATTGTTTTCATAATCACTGATAATTTGCTGTTTTATAGGTGTACTGTATTTCTTTCTAGCCATTTTTTTATATACATATTTTTTGGCAGTAAGTCAAAAGCAAATGATACACATGATTTTGTAATAAATTCGTTTTAAAAAAGATATATAAGAATCGAAATAGGTGTAATAAAGAAAACATAGTAATTACCCTGTGCAGCACTAAAATCTTGAACCAATCGGGACCGGCAAAATCTGAAAGCTTATGATGGTTGTAGAAAAACGATAGCTGGGGTTTGAACCCCGTTTGGATTGGATGCCTTTTTCACATGGTTATAGTCTCACAAAAATGATCTAATGTTCATAGAAAATTGTATGGTTTTAAATTTTAATTCAAATAATGAACAACTTTCGAAATTCACCCATTATATTGAGAATTATTCTTATTATAGTTGAAAATGGTGTAGACAGAATGTGATAATTGGAAATACTTTTGAGGATTTTAAGAATCATTGCCATAATTGATAATGCCACCGATTTAGATACTGTAGTTTTGATTTAACTGCTTTGTACATAGCTGCACTTTGGATTTAGTTACACACAATACACTTCTTTGGTAATTTTTCTCAGATTCCCCCTTAAATATTTCGTTTATGCGCACAATTCATATTTTACACAGTGATTTCACTTACGTGCACGTTGAAGCAAGTAACAGATATCAGATACCTTTTGATTTTCCTGCATAGAAATAATTGCTACTGTTGTGTGTACAAGTATGTCAAAACTACTGTATTATCACTAAATTGAAATCAATAAACGAGATGTATAGGAGGGCTTTATGATTAAAAAAATCCAATTCTTAGTCTTTATATATCATGGGGTTTGTGCGAAAACTCCTGTATGTTATGTGCCCATCCATTAACAGAACTTCTAAAGATTTAATTAATTTAATATTGAATGGTTATTTCAAATTACAAAACTAAATCAGGACAAAAAAAAAACAAGTGAAAAATCCAACATAGGTATACTGATAGTTACTTGAAATGAAAATATGGGGAACATGTGGAACGGCCATCACCGACGTACACATGATTTTATTTGGGGGTGTGGTGGAAGCTGCTGGTTTAATATAGATATTGTCATTGCAGAAAAAAACATTTCTATGTGTAGGTTTTTGGAGGCCATTACATCGTGTAGGAAACACCATACAGTTGGAGTTGTAATTATTAGAGGTTCTATGCAAAATTAGGGACTTATGTACATAGCTCTATTTCTAACCAAACGTTTTGGCATCACAATACATTCCTTCACGCTAAATATTAAAAGTACCGAAAATGGGTAGGTATCACAATATGGGGGAGAGGCGTAACTGAGGGCCAATATATTATATATCATTCTCGCACCTGGCCGTTCTAGTTTTTTACCTCAGTATCCCCAATGTAGAATGATTAAAACAGATGGCTAAATCGAGGGGGACCCTTATATGAGGGCTATGCGAAAAAATGAATCTATATTCATAATTTTTATTTGAAAGTTTTTTGAGAGAACTCAAAATACTAAATTACAGCCAATTCGGTGGAAAAATATGATCAAAACCCCCCAAAATAGTGCAATTTAGAGGGTACCGTTATATGGGGGCTACCAGATAAAGTGGACCTATTTTATAATTTTTGGTGGAGAAATTTGGAACCCAATTACCCTTACATGGGAGCTATGCCCAAACGTGGACTGATATATCCCATCTTCGAACTTGACCTGCCTGCAGACGAAAGGCAACCCTATGCAAAATTTCAGCAACTTATCTCAATTTCTTCAGAAGATAGAGTGATTGCAACAGACAGACGGACGGACAGAAGGACGTACATGGCTAGATCGTCTTAGAATTTTACCCTGATCAAGAATATATATACTTTATAGGGTCGGAAATGAATATTTCGATGTGTTACAAATGGAATGACAAAATTAATATACCCTCCATACTATGGTAGAGGGTATAAAAAAATATTTTAATTAGCGGATGATTTTTCTTAATTTGAATAAGTAATTGAATTAACAACACAACAACACCTACACATTAATGAAGAGGAGCCCTGAAATTTAACCAAACTTCCGTTTGATGTTTGATTTGATCTAATGGCCTCAGTACATGTGTTCCGATGCATAAAGTTTTACGTAGATAATTCTTTATGTTAACTAAACGAAACATAATCTCAGTTGAATTTGGACAATACTTAATAAATATTTACTATAAGATTAAACTTACCAAAGAAAGTAGAAAAGCGCCCATAGGGCAAACTGTAAATTTCATGAATATTTCGAGAGGAAATTGTATTTCGTCGTTCTCTCTTTCTCTACTTTGCTACTTATCGCCCTGACAACACCACAGACTCCTAACAACTTCCGCACATAGCAATTTCGTGAAAAACCAAATGCAGACAAGACTATGGTCTATGGAATCTAATATACGTGTGTATGTACGA